TTTTAATTGTGTCCTTTGAATTAGTGAGACTATAAATTTCATTTGGTTTTTGTCTATAGTAAGCAGCCACCCTGGTTACGGTATTGTGTAGATGAAGGTGGATGTGTGTGTTCAGTTCCCTGCTGAGTCCTGAAGATCACACTCATTGACTTGTAGTCCTGACACATGCCCCCTCAATTCTGACATCTAGGTTGACAGCACACCTTAGCCGTGTTGACAACCTCGTAAGCAGTAGTGGAGCGCTGACTGGCAGAACTTCATTGCCGCCACATGGGGTGTATGGTTAGCTTCCCAGCTGACTTTGCTGACAGTAGTGTGGTATGGGAAGCAGTGTTCTGCTCCTCAGAGCGCCTTGTTCTCTTTCATTACTTTGGGTGGGTGGAAGCTTGACTGTGTACTTGGCTTCACTTACTCTAAACTGGCAGAGAAAGTGGAGTGCCAGCTGCACTCGTTCTGCTCAATTTTGCCATGTATAGATAGGGTAGGAAGTTTGGATAGTTTCTTGGCCCCAGTAGGGGCATTAGACTCACTAGAACCAGACATGGGGGAAATGCAGTTCTCCACTTCTTCCTGATGAAATGGAAATGTAGCTTTTCATTTAGCTTTTGACTGTTTTAGAGTGGGTATTATATTTAAAATATTTTTCATTCTGCCAGGCTGTTTCCTATGTCTTTGGTGAGAGAGAAAGATTTTAAAGGCATTTTTTTTTCATCTTTGCCTTTTGGTAATATAAGGTTGCTAGATTTCCCAAGTGTCCCACTTGGAATTATGGATTTCTAAGAAATAAACCAAAGCAAGACAAAAACAAACAAAATTCCCAATAACAAGAATAAAAAATAATAGAACTTCTGCTCCATTGTCCTCAAATCTGTGGATTTCTGGTAGTGTATTTTTTCATCTTCCAGAGTCTGCCTGGTTTATTCATTATCTTATTTCAGAATTTACTATTCTTAAGGGCCTGTATGTAGGAGGAAAGAAACACAATCCCGAGAAAAAAATGTATCATTCCATATAGATTTTAAAAATTCTTGTGCATCTTCTTAATTCTGACCTCCTTTGGAATACATCTGCATCAGCTATCTAGTGATCAGCCAGTGATGGGCAGAAGTCTGCTCAGTCTCCTCAAGTCAGTAACACTTCTGCTGGCATGGAGGTAAGAAAAATGACTACTTGGCACTCCACTTTCCTTGCTAGTTTAGAGTACGTGAGGCCAGTACGTGGCTGAGCTTCCATCCTATCCAAGGCAATGAAATGGAACAAAGTAAGCAAAGAAGCATGTTCAAACTCAGGCCATGTTCAGATATATTCTGTTTTAATTCATCCTGTAGTCTTTTGTATCTCTTACCTGTAGGTATGCAGCCTCCTGGTCTGCCAGGAATAAATGGATAACTTGGGTTCTTTACAAGCCATGTTGTTCATTCTTGTAGAGTTGGTCTGAATATGCTTGCTATAAGCATGGCCACAAGTTCAGGCTTGTGTAGTCATTGACACCCTTTGCATGCCTGTTACTGAAAGTGATACTTCCACAGCTATGTTAATGGTTTCAGTTTTGCCAATGGCTAAAATTGAGCCAGAACTTTGAGCGGCACAACTGCTAAGACTGGCCCACTTTTACATAATTTCTGCATCAACCAAGATGGTGAGATGGGGGGAATTCTCCTTGATTGGAGGATACCTGTGTAAAAATGCCAGAGATTTCCATTTTCTTATTTTTTGATATTCAAATGCCTTGTCCATTTGGTTATGAATGAAAATTGTGATGTGTGTTTTCACAAAGAGTAATGGTGAGGCAACTCATTATTCACCTTGTCTTTGACAGCTTAAGAGATCTATGTAAATTTGAGTTTTACAGCGTTTATTCTTGGAGAACAAAGGAGACTCTATTTGTTTAAAGAAAATTCAGAGAAAACCAGTCTCCACCATGATCCTCCAGTCCCTTTCCTTTCTCTTTTCCCTTCCTTTCGCCCCTCTCCTTCCCTCCCCTTTCCTTTTTATGAGACAGTGTCTTGCTATGTAACCCAGGTTGGCCTTAAACTCAAGATCTTCCTACCTCAGCATCTTGAATGCTAGGGTTACAGAGGTGTGCCACCACACCCAACTTGCATCAGGTACTTTTGTTTTGTGGTACTGGGGATTGAATCCAGGGCTCCCTCACATATACCAGACAAGCACTCTATCACTTGAGCTATGCGCTTAGCACTTTCTAAAAAGTGTTTTTTTTTTTTTAAACTATACTGGGGTTTGAACACAGGAAATTTTGTTTACTATGCACACTTTTTACCAGAGTCATGCCCTCAGCCCTTTTTACTTCAATTACTTTTCAGACAGGGTCTCGTGTTTGCCTGGAGTCAGCCTTGAACTGCAGTATTCCTACTTATCCCTCTTGCATAGCTGAAGTTATAGGTAGGTACTACCAAACCCAGTGTATTTGTTCAGACCCAGCTTATTTGTGACATGGATTTCTCTCACTATCTTTTTGCCTAGGCTGGTTTTGAACCATAATCCTAGTCTCTGTTTCCTGAGTATCTATAAAATTTTATGAGCTAGAGTCTCACTCACTTTGCCTAGGATGTCCTTGATCTTGTGATCCTCCTGGTTCTGCCTTTAAGTAGCTGAGATTACAGGTACACATCACCCCTCCTGGATGGATATAGTACTCTTTAAGCTGCTACAGAAGTATGAGTAAGTTTGGTTTGTCAAAAAATATAACACTGCACAGTAATTAAGGAACTAATTGTTGATACATTCATAACTTAGATGAGCCCAAAGGGCATTATACTTAGTGAAAAAAATTCAGAAATTGCATGTTTTCTTAGTCCATTTTGAAAATGAGCAAACACAGGTAGTGAGATGAAAGATATGGGTGAGATATGTATTACTATAGAGAGGCACTGCAAGTGAGTCAATTTATGGTGTTGGAAGAGTTCTGTATCCCGATTGAGATCATGTTTGCACAAATACAGACGAAGGATTGAATTGTAAGATCATGTATAGATCTACATGCACACACATGCTCATGCCTGTTAAGTGGCTGAAAACATAGCAAGTTCTGTAATATATTTTTTGTTATGCACCAATGTCACTTTCTTAGTTTTGCCATTTTCCTATAGTTGTCTCTTTTGAACTTTTTCTGTATCTGTAATCATTTTAAATTTCAAAGTTAAATAATAGATACCCTCTCACAAGTAGAAACTCATGTTTATATATACAAGGAAATCCTAAATTCATATTTTCCTGAGATTATAGTCCATAAATAGTGTTTTTTCTTATACACTTTATTTAATCCATTAAAGGCAAAGATATATTGACATCGAGTAGCATAAGGTAATTAAGCAGTAGTGAAATAAGGGCTCATTCTTAAATTTTTAAAATAAGAAAAGCCTGTAATCACAGTAGAATTGTGGCTTATATGTATCACTCAACATTAAATATTTAAAGGGATTTGAACTCTTAAAAAATGCTAGCAAATAAAATTCACTAAGTTCTATATACATTTTTACTGAAAGCAATATATTATCTATAATTATAATTATAATTACCTAGAAATATAATGACATTAATTATATTTACATCTTTATAAATCACTGCAGAAATTCCTGTCATCTATGCCCAGGAGACTAACCAGTCCTCTGGTGGGAAGTTCACATCTACTGTCATGAGTTAGGATATAAACATAGACTCCATAATTTCTTCCCTTCCTAGTTGATCACCATGGCAAGGTCCTAGGGGAGACCACTCCTGCACTTCTAATCAGGTCCTAAAGTTATATAATAAGCCATAAACTATGACATGGTGGCTATAGTGTTAAGTCTGTGACTTTCTTTCACATTCTCTTGGCAAATTCAAAACTAGAAGTTTGATCTACACCTCAGAGTGACTCTGGAAACTCTCATATTTTGAGATTTGTGCAATGACACTTGTGCCAGTAAAGAGAAAAGATTCTGTGACTGTACCTGGTTGGCTTAAATGTCTCCAGTAGGACAGTGGAGGTGAGACCCAAAGAGAAGAACAGCCTTGAGTTGTCCAAGTGGCAGCAAGGTGAGTTAATACAGGCTTGATTTATCTCTCACTCTCCATGCAGCTGAAAATGAGTATAACTATGATATTGAATAAGAAGAACCTCAGTAATATGGAGCTCTGCCTCCATTCAACTTTGCCAACTGCGTTGGTCTCATCTTATCCTTGTTGTCTTTTTATTCTAATAAGACAGGTGTGGCTTCTCCATGTGCTACATCAAGACACAGTAGCATCAAGGGAAGAGAGATTTGTCACTTTCTTTAAAAAATATTGATATGTGATATACATATAGAAGTCTATATGCCTTAAGAATAATGTTTGATATTTTTTTTCAAACTTTACAACTAATACAGCCAGCATGGAAATTAATTGTTTCTCTTTGAAGCACATTCACTACCCTTTCTTCGTCCTTTGTGTAGCTACGATTGAATATAGGAAGATGTATAGAAATACAGATGTTTGTGGTTAATTATAAATCTTAAGCTACCAACAATCTCTTCCTTACCTGTTATCAACTAAACAGACTTTGTACATTCTTGGAGTAAGGCATCTGAAATCCCTGTAGAGTATGAGCAATCAGAATTGGAGCTTTTCTTGTGTCATACAGGAATGCAGGTCATCACTGTGAAACTGAGGTGTCCAGCAAAATGACAGAAACATGAGTAGGAACTAGAATGTGAATAGCCAGATGAGCATGAGGGAATTTTGAGAAACACATCCCCACTACCTAAGCTCACCAGCTCTCCAACACTTTATTTTTTAATATGTTCTAGTAAGGACAGAAACATTAGTTTGTTACATTCTGCTCATGTGGATAAAAGAGATAGTTATTGAAATGTTGAGGGAAAGGCAGTGGTAACCTATTTGGATGTCCTAAATGAAGGAGAATTTAAATTCTCCCATATTGTCCCTATGTTGAGAATTTGGAAAAAGAGAACTGGGTCCTCTATTAATGAAATTTTCTCTGTCCTCTCATATTTTCAGTGATGAATATCTTGATTGGAAATAACTCCTTGGTGACTGAGTTTGTTCTTGCTGGATTGACAGATCATCCAGGACTTCAGCTACCCCTCTTTTACTTGTTTCTAGGGATCTACATTGTCACCATGGTGGGCAACATTGGCTTGATTATGCTTATTGGTCTCAATTCTCACCTCCACACCCCCATGTACTATTTCCTCTTCAACCTCTCCTCCATTGATCTCTGTTACTCTTCTGTTTTCACTCCCAAAATGCTGATGAACTTTGTCTCAATAAAGAATGTCATCTCTTATGTGGGGTGCATGACTCAGCTGTTTTTCTTCCTCTTTTTTGTCATCTCTGAATGCTATATGTTGACTTCAATGGCCTATGATCGCTATGTGGCCATCTGTAATCCATTGCTGTACAAGGTCACTATGTCCCATCAGGTGTGTTCTGTGCTATCTTTTGCTTCTTATATGATGGGTTTTGCTGGAGCCACTGCCCACACAGGCTGCATGCTTAGACTAACCTTCTGCAACGCCAGTGTCATCAACCATTACTTGTGTGACATACTCCCACTCCTCCAACTTTCTTGTACAAGCACCTATGTCAATGAGGTAGTAGTTCTCATTGTCGTGGGTATTAATGTTACAGTCCCCAGTTTTACCATCCTAATTTCTTATGTTTTTATTCTTAATAGCATTCTTCACATCAAATCTACTCAAGGAAGATCAAAAGCCTTCAGTACCTGCAGCTTTCACATTGTTGCTATCTCACTATTTTTTGGGTCAGGGACCTTTATGTATCTTGCATACTCTTCTGGATCAATGGAACAGGGAAAAGTTTCTTCTGTTTTCTACACTAATGTTGTACCCACGGTCAATCCCTTAATCTACAGTTTGCGGAACAAGGATGTCAAAGTTGCGCTGAAGAAAGCCATGATGAAGGCTCATAGCAGAATCACATTCTCATAAGAAATAATAATGAAAGGAAATTGAAGAACCTTAAATATTTCTGGTGTTTTGCATGAAGAGCCTTGTTCATACCCATGTGACTTGTACAGATAATGATATATGTGGTATAGTACACTTGTGTTACCACTTCTGTTATTGCTAATTTTTCTTGTTTCTTGTTTCCTTATTTCTGGCATGTCACAACTTTCTAGATAACATGTACTTGTATGTTCATTAAGAAACATATACACTGGTGTCATTCATTATAGTTTCTGTCTCTTTCTGTCTCCTGGGCTATTCCTAAGCTAGAAAAAATATGTGTTTTTGATGTAAATTACAAAGAATAAAATTTTTGTTTTCTTATATAAATTAAGAAGTGTGAAATATGTTAGAAGCATTTTCATTATTCTCAATATTGGCAGTGGTATTGCAACAAAGGCCTAGGACAGAGGTCTAGGATCCAGCATGTTAGGTCTTGTCACTTGTCTCAAAGTAAGCAACAGAATGTTATGGTGAAAAGGCAGAAAAAGGTTAATTCAATGTAACTATGCTATCCTGGTAAGAGGGAAAGTGAGCATTTAATCCCATGTTTGGATGCTGACAGGGCTTTATGTTTAAATAGAAGAAGAATTGTGGAATTGGGGAAAGGCAAGCATAATTGAACAGTCCTGTTCAGAATTTCATTATCTCATTTCTGGTTTTACAAGGGATTTGCCTTACCATAAAGACATTTATTGGATTGTCTCTGAAATGGAATCCAAGGTGATTTCAAGAAGGACAGACTCAGGAAGAAAAAGTTAAAGAGGCAAAAATAGAATCAGAAAGAGACAAAATGGAGTTCATTAGGCCAGTGACGGATGCCTTTCCTTCATTATATGCAACAGGATTTTATTACATAAAGCTACATTATATAAAGCTTTAAACAGAATCAGATACCTATGGTTTGTCAGTTTCTTCTGTTTTTCTCACTCCTTTGCTTTATTAACCTTATGTTTCTTATTCTTTTTGACTAATGGCACAATATTTATCATAAGCTCTCTGCTTCTGAGACCCACTATTAACCCATTTATTATTGAAGAAAATATGTAAAGCTCCATCTTTTATTGGCCAAGACAGGGGATATTTAGAGATTCCAGTGGGAGTGGTGATGAGTATCTAGTTCTTGCTTTAATTCTTGATTTTTAAACTTAGTAACAGGAAAAGTCTCCAAATTAAGTTAGTAGAAATGTTTTACCCAATGTAGTAAAACCAATATGGTTTGTTATGAAAATATGTGTATATAAATAACAAGCTATCTTCCTATTGAGAACTTATGTAGACTTTGCAACATAACAAATAAAACACATTTAACATAGAGGCTGTTTCACATAATTCCTCTACTCCTCAATGCTTTTCCCATCTGTATATCTAGAACGTTAGATATACTTGAGGTTAAGAAACACAAGTTGGAGTACCTTGTTTGTATAATACCAGTAAAAATTACTATTGTAAGACATCATCAATGAAGTGTAATAAATAGGAACATGACTAATAAAGCAGAAAAAACTTTGAGGTTTTATGTTTTTAGATAGGACTGTGGAAGTCTTAGAGAATCGTACTTATGGCCCTGTCAGGAGAACGACCCATGTCAGGATCACAGTTGTTGGAAATCTACAGCTGATACTCCTTTGTGTGCTCCACAGAGTTTAGGCAGAAGCCATGATTGCTCTGAGATACCCCAGCCAATGACTAAGCATGGTGTGTGGCTAATTTCTGCCTCAGAGAGATTTCTTCTGATAGGCATTTTGGCTTGCATACTCCCTATCATTCTGATCAAGTCCTGTTAGAACTACACTGCAGTCTGAATTTTCCTCACATAATTCTTTCATTTCTCTTTCCTTTCTTAGGTGTCAGACTTTCATCTTGATCTGAGGCCTCCATCACTGATTCCTGCTTCCTCCCACTCTATGCTTCAGGCACTCAGCATAATAAATGTCCTGAAGGTCTAATGTTTCTTGGATTCATCTTCTAAGGGTATCTTAAATGACAGAGAGAACTTATGTTAGTTGCCTTTTAAGAATTTGTATAATATGATAATCAGTACAGATTGCTTATGTTATAATGATATCAACCCATTGCATAGAATTGAAGATTCAGAAACAAATCCTTATCTATACAGCCAATTGATTTTAACAAAGCTGAATACTACATATATATAAAGAAAACAATGAATCTTGACCTCTGTTTCACACCAGTTACAACAATTCTACTATAATGGATCAAAAACATACTAAAAAACCATAAACTATATACGTCCTATAAGTAAATACTGGAAACTACCCTGTTGGCATTAGCTTAGAATTTTTACTCAATTCCAGAAAATATTAAATCCAAAGGAAAATAGGCAGGATAAACTTCATTAAAATGATCATGAAACTGTTTGTGGGCAAACCACAAGCTACAGGATTATTTGAAATTTATGTACCAAATAAAAGTATTGTGTCCAGAATATATAACAACTTTTCAGTAATGAAAAGATGCTTCAATAATAAAAAAAAGACCACTAAAAATGGTCAAATGATTTAAAAAGCATTCTAAAGAAAGGCAAGCATATGACCAGTGTGTATATGCAAGATGCTTAACTTCTGCAGCCACTTATCTGTCATGCTTTCAGCACTTACAATATTGCCTGAACTTTGTCCCTTGGGGAGCTGGAACATTTGTCAGGCCTCATCACTGGTCTCCATTTTTAATGGTCCTGACAACCTGTAGGTAGGGGTCTCTATTTGTGAAGGTCAAGCACCCGTTCTGGGGTAGCCCCAACCATCAGTTAATCCTATCATTTAAACTGAAGAAGCTCTGAATGTTTATTGTCCAAAGCTGTGTGATACACATTCTATTCTGTATCACACAATTCTGCATGGTATAGTGGTTAAAGCAAGCAATTTTATATCCATAGGAACCAACTATAAAAAGTTAATCTGCTGGTTAAAATTTTGCCCTTTTGATACTTCATTTGTCCTAGCACTGGGTTTCTTATGTATGAGACAGGTGATGGTAAGGGTAAGCTGAGAGACAGCATATAAAGAATTTAGCCTTGTGATTTCCAGAGAGTGAATATTGGTGGCACAAAGTCTCAGTTTCCTTGTTTGTCTCTCTGATCAGGCTGAAGAACCCAGGATAAGGTCTGTTTTTCATTCTGGTTGTATTCACAGTGCTTCCCAGCCCACATGCTAAAAATTTAAAATGAGAAAGACTATTGAGTTTCTGCTCTGAAAGAGCAGAAATGCTCATGACCTGGGAACTTAATCCATCAGGCTTCTGTGGACTCGGTGTGCTCCTGAGTGTTGTCCCAGCCACGCAGCCAGAAGGTGTGGTCAGTGATGTCAGACTGATCATAAACACATTGTCATTATTCCTTCACTTCTGTCACTGTAAAATGACAGAAAGGTAGTAAAAATGGCAATTAACTCAGAAGTACAAAACAAAGAAAAAAAAAAAAAACCAGAAGAATCACAATAACCCTGAATCTTGTAAGTTAGAAAGTAGATAAATGAACAATTCTTATTTTAGCATCTTATGACTTCTGCCCTTAATGTAGAACTGGGGAAACCAACAATAACTCCTGATTTACACCATACACTATCCACATGCTCATAATTTTGTGGCACAAGATATCTTTAGGAGAAGTGAAGGTGGAATTGAATAATGAAGTAATTGGAGTTTCAGATCTCTTCTATTTGTCCACACAGCCACAAGATTACCTCTATTTATACCCACTATTAATATATAAAAGACTAGAATTTTATTCACTAAATAAAGTGAATGCCTGATGGCTCATATCTGTAATCTAAGCTACTCAGGAGGCACTCTCAGGAGGATCACAGTTGAAGGGCAACCTGGGTAAAATACCAGTGAAACCTTCTTTCAAAATCAACCTGTCTCCATTGCTCAGTCTTTCTCTCCATTTTCTTCTGTTCTTCAGAACTCTCCTTCTATTGTGTTTTTTATTTCTTCTTTATCTTTCTTTCTACATCACAGGAAAGATTTCTACTGTGATATTTTTCTTCTTACTCATGCCATATAACTGTATAGGCTTATTCTGATCTTGACTTATCCTCAGTCCCAAAGTTGCTTCAACCTGGTCTTCATTCTCTTTACTAAATGGAGATTTCTTTCCTATCTAAAGATAATACTAATTATACTTACTTTTTTTTCCCTTATGTTTATTTTCCATGGAAAAAGTCAAGGAGTTGGATGGATTCTGAAAGTTTAGTTCTGGGTTTTCTGGAACAATTTTAAAAAATATTTCATGTTTCAAGTGTTGAATTACTTATGCTAGTATAAAACATAAGGAGTTCTAAAAAGTGTAGAAATGATAACATTGTGAAAAAATCCAGATTCTTCAGGGTTCAACTTGTAGTTTTTGTTTTTCTTAGAGAGTAAAGTTTGCATTTGTAGTGAACTCTGTGATCTGTTGGATTTAGGTTCTGTTTTTACAGATGTGTGAGGATATATGAGATCTGCATGTCACCTTTTTATGCCCTACCAGTGGTGAGAATACATTGGTTAGCTGATATTTGGTCTTAAATAGAGGTAATGCTATGACCTATTTTTCCATGTTTGTGTGGCTAGTCTATGATTCTGTTTCAAAATTAGGTAGTAGTGTTACTGAGTACAAAGCATGCAACCAGGAAGACCATTTCTCTTTGTTTTTCCATCTTCATAACAAGAAATCCTCCTTTGGAAAACAAGTTTTTTTTTTTTTCTTTTCATTAAAAACACTAAAGAAGTGCTGAAGATGCAGTTCAGTGTTCTAGCCTTGGTTAAATCCCACCACTAGAAAAAAAAAGTTTAAAAATACAAAGAAAAATATGTAGCATTAATTATGCTCATTTCAGATTTACTCTTTCAATATGTAAATTTTACTCCTTCCTTTCCTCCTTTTTTTCTCTTAGAAGAACAATTTGACCTGGAGCTCTTACTGTGTGCCACACAATCTTTACATATCCTAATAAACATGATTCTTTATTCTATTCTCT